CCGGTATCCGTCCATAGTTTCTAGTTGTATTGCGCCAAATCTACATTTTTGTGTAATGTGACAACTGAATTTTCTATACACGTTACTTAGCGAAGAAATGCTGGTAGGCTAATCTTTCTTATAGTCAAAAAATGGTCTAATAATCAACCTAATTTGCGTCAAAATAAACTTACCAATCGTTGCTTCCAAGTCGTATGGCTTGGATCTCGGGCTCGTGGTCGGCCACTGAAGTTTCCTCGTTTGGGTCGTCATCCGTCTCTGGTTCGAACATGTAAGGCTGTGTTACTCCGTCGTAGGTTGCCCCGTCCATCTCAAAGTTAGATGAGCCGTCAGACATGTATAAATCAACAGATTCTTCGTCGCTTTCTGAGGTCGATACGTAGGTAACGTTATTCGCCATGATGCCGGGTTTTCTTGTGTTCCCGTTGTGACGTCACCGATACGTGTGCACAACTTTTAGCGGCGCGCGGTACGCTTGATGAGCATATGCATATGGAAACGCAGGTAAATGCTCAACTTCTACCTGTCGTAACTTGGTAACCGGTCCACCGATTTCGATGCGGTTTTCGGCAACATCATTATAAAAACACAAGGAATGTTTTATTATCGGTTACTATTTGCACTACAGTTACTCTAGAGTAACTGTAGTGCTGCAATTTTTTTCAAGTAAAGAAAGATTGATATATAAAACACTCAAAAAAAATTGTTTTTTGGCAAAAATACCGAAGTTGTAACCTTTTTACTAAATTTCACACCTGAGCGCAAATCGTAAAATCTCCGATTTTGACCTACGACCGGAAGTGACGTAGCAGCGGTGACCCAAACTCAGGTAAGCTAGGGTAGCCATTACGAAACACTATCAAAACATCTTCGTCATGATACGCGTTCGTATTTGCACGTGCAGTGGGGCGTGGTCAGATAACACATTGAAATTGCCAACAATAAACTGTTTAACACAATACAATAAACATGGACTCGCAATCAAATAATCAATAACACTCATTCCATTATTGCTACAATATGTATAGTCATTTGAATACTTATTTAAATCTCTTCCGTTATAGATACGCAAACAACTCGCCTTACATAATTCTATAATTCGATTTCCAAAATGATTCCCACTGTGTCGGGGTTAACCCTATCAGTATAATAATCATCAGAGACATATGAAAACAAATCAGAAAGCTGACGTTTAACACTGTCGTGAATAATATCATATTTTACATAATCACATACATTACTGGTACGACTGGTTCCTTGCGGGAATATTGACTTATATTATATTCCAATTAAAAAATAAATCACAGTTATACTGGTTATAGAATTGGGAATTGGAAGGTGGAATATAGACACATGCCAGGTACACATCATCTCCTTGACCAATAAGACTTTTATCAATTTTAGCCAAACATATAATTTCACAAACTGAAATATGTTTAGTTAAATTTGATTTAATCATAATTAACATGCCACCTCCTTGGGAATGTGTGTGTATTGAGGTGTGTGTACATGATACTATTGAGGTATATGTACATGATACTATTGAGGTATGTGTACATGATAACAGAAAATAATTATGTATGTGTACATGATACTATTGAGGTTTGTGTACATGGTAATATTGATGTGTGTGTACATGACACTATTGATGTGTGTGTACATGATACTATTGAGGTATGTATACATGATACTATTGAGGTATGTGTACATGATACTATTGAGGTATGTGTACATGATAACAGAAAATAATTGTGTATGTGTACATGATACTATTGAGGTTTGTGTACATGATAATATTGAGGTATGTGTACATGATACTATTGAGGTGTGTGTACATGATACTATTGAGGTGTGTGTACATGATACTATTGAGGTGTGTGTACATGATACTATTGAGGTGTGTGTACATGATACTATTGAGGTATTTTTACATGATACTATTGAGGTGTGTATACATGATACTATTGAGGTGTGTGCACATGATACTATTGAGGTATGTGTACATAATACTATTGAGGTATGTGAACATGATACTATTGAGGTATGTGTACATGATACCATTGAGGTATGTGTACATGATACTATTGAGGTATGTTTACATGATACTATTGAGGTATGTGTACATGATAACAGAAAATAATTGTGTATGTGTACATGATACTATTGAGGTTTGTGTACATGATACTATTGAGGTTTGTATACATGATACTATTGAGGTGTGTGCACATGATACTATTGAGGTATGTGTACATGATACCATTGAGGTCTGTGTACATGCTACTATTGAGGTGTGTATACATGATACTATTGATGTGTGTGTACATGACACTATTGATGTGTGTGTACATGATATTATTGAGGTATGTATACATGATACTATTGAGGTATGTGTACATGATACCATTGAGGTCTGTGTACATGCTACTATTGAGGTGTGTATACATGATACTATTGAGGTGTGTGCACATGATACTATTGAGGTATGTGTACATAATACTATTGAGGTATGTGAACATGATACTATTGAGGTATGTGTACATGATACCATTGAGGTATGTGTACATAATACTATTGAGGTATGTGAACATGATACTATTGAGGTATGTGTACATGATACCATTGAGGTCTGTGTACATGCTACTATTGAGGTGTGTATACATGATACTATTGAGGTATGTGTACATGATAACAGACAATAAGTATGTATGTGTACATGATACTATTGAGGTTTATGTACATGGTAATATTGATGTGTGTGTACATGACACTATTGATGTGTGTGTGCATGATACTATTGAGGTATGTATACATGATACTATTGAGGTATGTGTACATGATAACAGACAATAAGTATGTATGTGTACATGATACTATTGAGGTTTGTGTACATGATACTATTGAGGTATATGTACATGATACTATTGAGGAATGTGTACATGATACCATTGAGGTATGTGTACATGATACTATTGAGGTGTGTGCACATGATACTATTGAGGTATGTGTACATGATACCAGCTACTAGTTAGGTATGTGTACATGATACTATTGAGGTGTGTGCACATGATACTATTGAGGTATGTGTGCATGATACCATTGAGGTATGTGTACATGATACTATTGAGGTATGTGTACATGATACTATTGAGGTATGTGTACATGATACCAGACAATAATTAGGAAGGTGTACATGATACTATTGAGGTGTATGTACATGATACTATTGAGGTATGTGTACATGATACTATTGAGGTATGTGTACATGATACCAGATACTAATTAGGTATGTGTACATGATACTATTGAGGTGTGTGTACATGATACCATTGAGGTATGTGTAAATAATACTATTGAGGTATGTGTACATGATACTATTGAGGTATGTGAACATGATACTATTGAGGTATGTGTACACGATACTATTGAGGTGTGTATACATGGTACTATTGAGGTGTGTGCACATGATACTATTGAGGTGTGTGTTCATGATACTATTGAGGTATGTGTACATAATACTATGGAGGTATGTGTACATGATACTATTGAGGGGTGTGTACATGATACCATTGAGGTATGCGTACATGATAGAGGTGTATGTACATAATACTATTGAGGTATGTGACCTCAATAGTATCATGATACTATTGAGGTCACATACCTCAATAGTATTATGTACATACACCTCAATAGCATCATGTACATATACCTCAATAGTATTATGTACACAACCCTCAATGGTATCATGTACACATACCTAAATAGTATCATGAACACATACCTCAATAGAATCATGTGAACACACCTCAATAGTATCATGTATACACACATCAATAGTATCATGTACACATACCTTAATAGTATTATGTACATACACCTCAATAGTATCATGTACATACACCTCAATAGTATTATGTATACACACCTCAATAGAATCATGTACATACACCTCAATAGTATTATGTATACACA